TTATGTTAACATGTAATACATGTTAATTACGATTTTAAAAGATTCATCTTGATAAATTTATCTAAATCAATTATTTCTCTTTAATTACGTATTTCTCATTTATAAAGTAAAAAATATAAATTTACCTATCTAGAGAATTTATCTAGATAAACACAACACAGCCCATTAGTTTGACTGAGATTGAGTAAATGCAAGTATCACGTAGTCCTGCAAAGCGGTCTCTAGTTACATAGTTCCACGACTTTCCCCGTAGATATATTCAGTCCGGTCGGCGGTCGTCTGTTGCACCTGTGTGAAATGTTATAAACACAAATACATAAACGTTAATATAACAAAAAAAAAAAAAAGGAAAACATTTTGCGAGAGCGCACGTAAACTTTTCACTGAGCGCGTCTCTTTCACAGGACCGCGACCACAAGCCAATTACAACGTGTGGCGAATAATCTGCGACATCTCTCGTACCTACCTATCTGTTCTGCTGCTTCGCCTTTATCCAACACAAGTGGATCACGACAGTCATTCTTAGTCCTTTCTCAGCACGTTTCTACGTTCATCAGTCATTCCTATAACCATCACCACCATATTACCTTCCTCATCATCCCTGAAGTTTACTCGCCTATACACATATTATTATATCTGTCTTTGTTCTAACCATGTACATATGTCCCACAATCTTAGTGTTTTCTCTCCTCTGAACTCAAACGAACTATTTTCCCGACTTGTCCAACAACCTCCTCAATTGCGTGTACATATCTAGTTTTTTAAAAGCTCAATGTGAGTAAACCCTTATAGACCCCCAAAACTAATTTGCTCTTATCAACTATATCTTTGATCGCAGAGATTAAGTCAAATTTGTATAGTGTTCAATACAAGCAAATTACATTTTAAAAATCGTTTAATGACCTAACGACATAACTATACTTAATATCTAAATTACTAAATGGCCTTACTCAAAATATTGTTCTAATAATGGCTTAAGTCATATAATTTTATAATTATATGCCTTTTTTTCAAACAAATAGTAACTCATAGACTTAAGATATTTTAATTTTCAGTATAACAAGAGTTATACAAATTTACAAACATTTATGCCATTTAGAAAAACAAAATAAAGGAAAACAATTTATGTAACACAAAATTATAAAATAAAAACACCAAAATTTGACTTAAGTCGTTCTTCCCTAAGACTAAAGATGTACTCGTGTAATATGCACCCGAGTGCTCCTTTGCGTTGTATCTCTTTCATCAATTCGTCCATAGCTACTGAAAACGAGTACGGGCTCTTTACTTATACTCAACGACCATTTGCATGTTAGGTAGTTGTTAATTTGTTTAGAAAAACTTTTCGAATTCCAAAATAATATTTTAACTAACGTGCCATCATGTAAAAACTGCATTTTTAAAAAAAAAATACGGTGTGTGAACGTTTCTAAAGTATTTGTTTGCCCAAAATAATAATTAGACAAATAAAAAACGCAACAATTTGTAAAACCGAAATATTAAATTCCTCTCCCAGCTGAGAATCTAATATTCAAATACAACAAATTGTTCTATCTTATAAACTTTATAGCGTTATAAATAAGAGAAAACCGTATCCCAGAGAACCAAGTATTATGAATGTTTACTGAATTATTGTTCATTTATATTGTTAATATAAATATATTAATAAAACAAATGAATTAGTAATGCACTGCTAATTTTTAATGAAGTGCTCGAAGACATTATATGTTTCAATTTTTGTATTTATTTTTATTTCAATTCAGTACTGTACTCAGCCAAATCTATACGAATTATCAATATTTTCCTATATTAAATACCTTTCCCCGAGTATAAAATTTCTAGCAGAAAAATGTATTTCTGGTTTTCATTTTCCAATAATTTTTTATCACGTTCCTGTGTTTTTCGCCGCCTCCGTAATTGTATCGTCTCGAAACGGATAATGATATCCGTGACAGACACTAATATGACCGCACCGTCATACCGAATAAAAATGCGATAACCGACTAGAGATTTCAGTCCGATAGCATGACAATTATTATTATTAAATAATCGACGTCTTTGGGGAGTGTATCGCCGCGAATCATTCGATTAGCACGCCAAAAACGACGACGTGCTTGTCCTAATTCTTATACGATAATTAGATCGTGCTGAAGAGACAGCGTCTAGAAGAATAAATGAAATGATGAAGACACGGTTGCAATATAATAAACTTACCATTTTTATTTTTACCGTCACAGCAGTTTAATCCCGTTTACATTCTGTTATTATTTGATTATATTACAAACACTGCAGCCTACAGCAGCATCAGTACACCCCTAAATTATATTAAACATATAAGTACAGGATAATTCTTATACACTAGCGTACTTAGAATTTTACTAAGGAGGGAGATATTCATTTGGAAATTGTGTCATATTATAATATATACCTACACTTAACATGACAATGCGTACTTATACAGGTTATAAAAACATAATTTTTTAATTTATATATTTTTGTATACAATGTATCATTCAACATGCTCTAAAAATTCAAATGATTATTAAAATCAAATGACTATTATTAACTTATGACTAGGTATTAACAGTAATAATTATTAAATAATTTAACTGTTATTTAGGTACTAATCCAACAACTAATCTCCTTCATATTATTGGTTCAGATGAGTTTTGTGTTAACTAAGAAAATATATAATACGTTCAGATTTTTTTGATTAACTAGGTATTATCTAACATATTAGAGTCATAACATATTAAGTAGTCATCATATAAATAAGAAATACATAAATAAAATGGTTAACAGAGGAAATATATCTCCCTAATTTATGTCCTTAAGTATGCTATTGTTCTTATATAATATTATCATAAACTAGCTACGACAGTAGTTCCCGGCCAAAATGTGAGAGATCACAAACTAAGATCACAAACTGAACATAATCACGTATATAATTCTGGAAAATCTACCTTAGATTATATATAATATCTCCGTGTCTTTTCTACAATATTTATTTGTTTGAATAACGATTTTAAAATTTGCTCATTTTATGAAAAATAATCAGTTTTATCGGTCTGAATCATGTAGCGAAGATGACAAAATTCTAAGCCAGTGTGTTCAACCAAAAATTATTTAAAACTTTGTGTACGAAATTCAAACTAATTTACAATAACTTATCGTAAATTATAATGGTAAAATACATTAATCGAATAAACTATCGAAAAAAGTACCCTTGTTTGATAGCTGAAACAGAAAAAATTCGCCTTCAAATTAAGTTGGTCTATCGGAAGATTTTAGAATGGTCTACACTATCAAAACAGGCTAAAATTCGCTGGTCAGTGGATATTTTTGGTAAATTTACTTTTGATTTAAGAATGTGACGTTTCAAAATGTTTTTGTAAATGAGAATATTAAACTATTCTATTGCAATATCATGTCCCGGAAAAAAAAAAAATCTTATTATACATTCATAAATATTAAGTGTTTATTATCCTTGATCGTTGATTAAAAAAACACTCTGTTTATTGTTCCGAAATGTTTTATCTTATTATAATCTCAAAAATCGTCAACAGCGTATGTGTACCGACTATATTTCGTCCATAATACGTTTTTTTTGTTTTTAATTTTCTGTTAAATCACGCACAATATTACATCCAGCCGTTTTTATCGTGATTTTTTTATTTTCGCCTCATTGTCTCCGCCCTCAATGTACAGCAATAATAATGGGTACAATGTGGTCGCCGTATCTCAGTTTTTTACGGTATAATTGTATACGCGAATAAGACACAAAGACGCCTTTGTTCTTATCTCCAAAAGGTCCTATATATATATATATATATATATATAAATCTGGTAGATATTTTCCCAAAAGAATATTATTATAATACAGGGATTTTCAGTAGCAATTTCTATATAGGAGGGGAGGGGTTAAATGGGTTATACATGTATAATTTGTTTAAAATAATAAATAAATACATTTAATGTCGCATGGATTAAAATTTTAACTGTACAATTTTTTACACAGCTATTCATATCTTGATATGATTATTATTTTTTTTCATTCAGACAAATAATTAATTGTAAATCAGCATCGTACTTGTCAAAGTCTACATATTATTTAAATATTGCCTATATTGTTAATTTTACTAGACCTATTTTTATAATAAATTGCTAATATGTGTTTGCAATTCGCAACACCTATGATTTCAAATAATACATCAAAATTGATCTTTATTTTAGTAAAACTATTCTACGGTAATATTCTTCCAATTAGTCTCGAGGTAAAATTGCTGTAGCTATAATATCTGTTTATCTCATCACTTTCGTGTCTTTACTAATAAGTTACAACAAACAATATTTTGGTTTAAAATAGGGGAGATTTTTTATTATTTAAATGATTTATGTGATTTGACATTTTAAAAAGACAACATATTGACACTGTATATCATTATAAAAGAGACTCAAATATTCTCAATTATCAGTAACGTACGTAATAATAATTTTACTTTATACTGGTAACGTTATTTTGTTCTATCAGTTTAAATAACTGAATAATAATATTATCGTTAAGATTTGCAAAATATAATTATTTTTGTAGAACGATGAAATCATCGAGGGATTACAAAATGCAAAATGGCAAACGCCTCGAAGTATTTTATTCGAATGTTTTGCATATCATTATGACGTATATGAGTGCAGACATGACGTGTTCACTTAATTATCGCGCACATTCTTGTTAAACTCTCAACAGACTAATAATATTATTATCATAACACTTAATATCTCAATAATTCAATTAAAAATTTTACAAATCGGATAAACAGACAATAAGTCGGCGTTTCGTGATAAGATAAAATAATTAATTTGACTAAACTCGTTTCGCGTGTAAACCGATATATTTTATTCACAAAATGAGCATCTAAAACATGACCATGAATACAAAGTAAACTTGTATAACGATAATATTAAATTGGTATACAAATGAGCTTTTATATTATAAGTGTAACAGTGTAACTAAAATTAACATAGCACATAAGGTAAACAAAGTGTAGAGAAATATAATAGAGAAAAAGTGCGAAGTATGCTATGTAGAATATATGGAGACTGGGACACCATATTATTCTGTATAATACAAGTTTTATGTAGTAAGCTCATTCGGACTATTTTAATCACAAAATACCCCTCGATTTGTCGTGCAAACTTTTCTACCAGCAATTTCCTTTCGAATTAAAATAATAGCACTCTTTCCAAAAAAAAAAACCGACTGGAGAGGTTCCTTAAGGAGGTCATTTTTCGATTTTTTCCAAGAGTTTTCCCAGCAAACGTGAAAAACCGGGAAAAAACATGGGAAAATCAGGAAAAACGGGAAAATCAGTACAATATTAAGGAAATATTATTAAAGAAAATATATAAGGTATATTTAATTATTTTCCTGTAATATGACATATATATATATATATATTTTTTTTAAAAAATATCACTATCAACTGAACTGCGCTTAGAATCGTTTTTTGTTAGCAATGTTTTATTGTTGCTAACAGATATATATTAAATTACCTATAACAATGGCTGCACCCGTCTCCATTATCCTAGGACGTCTTTTTATACATACATTTTTTTATTTATATATTTTTTTAATATACATATGTGTTTTAAAATATTGTTTTGCAGTATTATTTATAATACGGTAGCGTTTACGAGATCTAACCTTATATTTCCTATAACACCAAACGTTTTCTGTCACACACCAGAACACGAAACTAAATGTACCCATGTTACGTTTCATTACATTGGTCCAACTTGTATACTTCTCCATTTACTCATAGTTCATAATACAATTTAACGTACGTCTATATTATATAAATCATAATATTTTGCACTCCATGACGAAGGTACTGTTTCGTATGTATACAATAATGTTGGAAAAACTCCCGTGTGCGTTTTAAACACGATGATTCAAATGACGAGCTTCTAGAACGCATACGATAACCGATTTATTCACGTATTTGAAGTTGTAATTTATACATACGTCAAAACTTTCGTTGTTACATTTTAAATATAAATATTTGATTTACAGTGTGAACCATATATTATTACTGGAATTGTTTATATCAGCTAAATACATACGTATAATTCAAAGAAAACATTCGATACAATTTTGAAATTATTTACTATAAAAATAATCGATATTTTAGTTAATACAAATTATCCTATTATGAATGTTGAACGTTTCACTGTGTTATATATTTATTTTCTGTCTGCGAACAACTTTTTGGGCAGATATCTTGTTTCTATAATTACCTTTAAGTGTGGTCTCTGGTGGAAAATGTTGTCTTGTCAGACGAATCAGAAAGATCATTTTCCGGTTTTTTTCCTGCCGTTTTCTAAATAATAATTTTTAGGAAAAACTAAGGAAACCTGGTTTTTATATTTATAAATTAAATTATCCTTTATATTCTACGACTCCGCATTTCCCACATATAACGGTGGTATATACATGGTACGAAGTTAATCTGTTTTTTATTTACTGAAATATCACATCAATAGTATATAGATACATTATGAAGTAGATATTAATGTTTTCAAATTAAACAATTTTAAAAAAAATTATGATTTTATTATCTAAATTGTATTTTGTTATATTTTCATAAATTGTCTAAAAACTTAACGATAATAAAAAAAAAACCCCGTTCATACTAATGTTACGTTTGAAAGTCATACAAATTACATTTTTGATTAAAGTTTCTAAAAATAATAATTAAATTCGTGGTTTACTCGTGGCTCTGTCGTTGATGTGTACCGGTTTTTGAGAAATTCGGGGAAAACGCTTGTGGTCTATAAACCGTGCCCGTCGACGGTGCTGCCGAATAAAACAATGTCGTCACTACAGTAGTTCTTTCCCCTCGAGAAACCGCAGTAATGTGTGCACACTGTACATTGTTTTTACAGGCTAAAAAATCATTATAACCGTCAAAACAAGTTACGGCGGGAAAATAACACGTACCTATAAGTGTCCGTTGACATTTTGACATCGCCATACGCTATTGTTTTTTTGCCCCAACGATGCGATTTCTGACCTACAAAATCGCTATTAAAGTTACACTTTGTTATTTTCTATTATCTTTTTGAGAAATATCACAAGTCCCTCTATCTCCTTCTATTTTCATTAATCCAAGGTTTGGTTTGCAGCTTCACTACATCCGTTTGTTACTTTTCTTTTCAATAGTAAATACGAATCGCAATTTTGATCAATCATGGTTTATCTTGTGTATTCCAGCTTAGATCTTCCTACGAGGTTATTTTCTTTCAAAACTTCTTATTCAATTTCAATAAACCTACATGTTTGATTAAGTAGCCATTCCAGTAGTTTCATCGTATTATCAATTGTTTCTACAATGTTCTTCTTTATTACTATACTCAATTTAGCACATCATTATTTGTTATTCTCCTGGTCCAATTTATTCTTAACAGTGTTCCGTAACACTATACGTCAATGAATCTAACGTATTTTATACTTCTGGGCGGACATATTTTGTGCACATTTACTAGAATTACGACTCGTTTGGGCACACATTTTCCGTCCCATCTATCTATACAGACTTAGGACTGTTAGTTAATATGTTAACTTCTCTGGTGTGGTTAAATATGCGTTTACGGTGTTCTACGTGTTATTAATTATTTAATATAATTTAATTGTTACGGTAAAAAGGGAGAAAAGCAGTCATTTAATCTTTTCGTTTTTATTTATTTTAATTAATGAGTTGCCGAAATCATAGATAAATCCGTTATTATCGGCGAAACCATTGTCTGCGTTTAAAGAGCAATTAACATATAATAATGATTTGCCATGCATTCTCAACCACGTATTTTTTGGTCTTCCTCTCTACTTTTTTCCTTCTTTATTTGTTTTCATTATAATTCTTAGTACATCGGATTTCTCTCTCCCCGTTTCCTATCGAAGCCACGCCTTAGCTAACTCGTATGTACTTTCGAGACGAAAGAGCTAGTATATATATACATACCTAATTACATAAATTGTCTTATAAATTATAATTGGGAATAACAAAATTTAAAATTTGTCTAAACTATTATTACTACAAATTACACTCAATTGTTGTGATTGAGTTTATTTGTGTGCAAGCTTATTGAGAAGTTTTGACTACGTCAATTAAGTCTCAATGATAATACATATACACAAGATGACACGAATAATGGACCGTGTTCGTTTTCCTTCTTTATGTTTCAGGCGTGTTCCTATTCTGTTGGGTACCGTTTTTCACGTGCAACATCCTGGACGCTATTTGCAATAAGCTGGACAAGGACTGCTCGCCTGGCGTCCGGATGTTCATCCTGACGACGTGGCTAGGCTACATGAACAGTTTCGTCAACCCGGTCATCTACACCATATTCAACCCCGAGTTCCGGAAGGCGTTCAAAAAACTCATGCGAATAGGCACCTGACCCGTGGCTGACGGCACCGGAAGAAGTTGCGCCTCCAACGTCCATGGCGCAAAATGACCCAACACTTTTTTATATCAATAACAATATTATTATTAGGTAAACCAACCTATTCGTTAAATATTGTATAATATTGCGTGAAACACCCTTGTATTATACATATTATTATTATAACATTTATATTTATATCATTAATTATTATTATTATTAATATTATTATCATTATTGTTCTATTACTATCGATCAGTTTTCCCGTGCAGAGCGGAAACGGTTCGGCCGATTCGGACATTAACAATGTCCCAAGACCATGTACACTTTGTTAACAGCCGGATAAAATAATGTATTGTTTTGTGTGTCCGGCTATAAATTAATTTCATTTTTAGTACACAAGACAATACGTTGTTGTCGTATTAGGTAAATAACTATGACGTCCGTACATTTCCGATACCTTAAATATCAAAAGTGCAGGTGTCAGGGTAGATAGGGATGGATAAAGTATTCTGCACCTCGTCATTCCAATGATAACGTATATTCAGCTCTATCCTGTTCCGCGACGATCACGCGACTATAATTTTTTCGATCGATGAAAACGTTTATTATCACCAATTATTTATTATTTATTCTGTGGTCGATATGCATCTTTTGTTTTTTTTGTTTCAAATAAAAATCGTTCGATATTCTGCTCCAGTCGCGTCGTGGTCTTGTAAACGCGTTTCCCTTCGATTTATTGTTTAAAAAAAAAACCTCTATTTTTACATAAATTATTGTCATTAAAACAAAGACGTACTCGTTTGCACCAATAATAATTAAAAACTTGTATATCTGTTATTATTATTATTATTATTATGTATATTAACGACTGAATATCCATTAAAAATCTTAACTAGTAAGACAAGTCAATATTACTATGACTATAATAATTATAAGACATTAAAACGCTTTGTAGGTTTATTTGAAAGTCTTTTAAAAATATATAATATATATTAATATTATAATATGTTGTAGATATAGTAAATTAAAAATATCTCGGGCTAAGATAGAATGGACTGGAAATGAGAGCCGTATCGCTCGGCCGCTTGTGGTTCGCAAGCTTAATGTGCCAGTGGAGGGAGGTTCGTGCACGGCACTAGCGCTACCTATACGTCCCGTCCGCTCAATATCTGCCCGCCATGACGTTTCCGTGTAAATTTTTTTCATAGTTCGTCAGTAGATAACCGTGGTCCGTACTATCGGTTAATACTTTCGTTTATTGTTCTTTAACATCGTTACATTTAATTACTAGGTAGCTCTAGTGTACACACCTAACTCCCCGCCCCATTGTTACATGATCGATAATAAGGACAATTAAAAATTCTATAGATATCGTATATTATAATATTTTAAATTCATAAACTAAAAACTCAAAACTCTGTTCTAAATATATTATACTATAATTGAAAAAAAATTTAAATTATAGTTTGCATTCATTTATTTTATTTTTATTTATTTTATCACATGTGCAAACACATATACGTTCGTCAACCTTGAACATTTTTTGAAAGGGTAAAAAGCTAAAAGTCGAGAATATTGTCTGCGAGTATGCGTAAACTAAATGCAAATAAATGGTATATCATTTCAATAACAATAACGGCAAATGAGATGAAAAAAAAAAAGAAAGTTCGACTCGTATATTTAAATCGAAAATAAAAGCTTTTTAATTTTAAATTTGTCTAGTAATATATTATTATTTATACCATTTTTCTAGAGTATAGACACCTACGTTTAGTATATTAAATTGCATTTTCAATGTATGTAAATTCGATATTATATACGATTAAATGCCGGACTTGAATATTCAGGACGCAGAGCTGATCAGATGAAACAATGTGACAGTTCACCACAAATACCTAGTTCGAATTCAAAACATATATTATAATATTTTGATGAAAATTTTAATGGAATATTTTAAATGTCGCCCGGGAAAAGTTATAAAACTATGTTAAATTTAAATTTCCGCAACAATATTAACAATATATAACCGGCGTAAATTGCGTACATTAATGTTATTGTGTTGTGCACTAACATATTTTTCCAAATATAAAACAAATTTAAATACCTATACGTTAATAATCGAAATTTCTCGGTTCGTACACAGTTCTCGTTTTAATCAGTGTTGGGATATTATCCAGATACAGTCATTAAAAATAAAATCTAGACAACGACATGCCCTCTGTTATTTTTTTATATTATTTTAAAAAAATCAATATTTCAGATCTATATCTTATCAATATTATGTTGAGTAATTATGTAGATAATATATAATAGTTATAATGGTAAACTGTACAAAGTGGTAAATATAACGCAAGACAGGTATTATCTCAGAAAGTATTAACTTTTTTTCATAATTTGTTTTTTTGAACATTTGGGAGTAGATCTAAAATTTTACATTTCTTGTTTTATTGTCTTTATTTTTTAGGAGTAAAACCGTCATCTACATTTGATTTTCTTACGACAACCTTTAATGAAAATTCCAAAAATATAAACAGTATTAGTTTAAATCAATTTTGGTGTTGTCATTTTTAATTTCCATCAAACCGTTAGCGATATATTTTACTTTCAATTTTAGACAGAATACGGAGAGCAGTGGAACGTCACTTGTGTTACATCGCAACACTCGTCGCTTGAATAGTGTTCCACTGCTCCCCGCCAAACCACAAAAAATGTAAAATTATTCCACTTTTAAGTTGCGGCGATGGGAGAGCAGTAGTGCATCATTTGCTTGGAAGCATTGCATAAAGCGTTTCAATACTGTTCCGCTACTCTCCTCCCGTCACTGCTTAAAACTGGAATATCTCAACAACGGTTTGACGGAAATTAAACTTTTCAACGCCGAGATTGTTAAACTAATACTCCATCTATTAACGAAATTTTATCTATAGGATTTTGTTTTAAAATCTAAAGAAGGTTTTACCCCTTGAAATAGGGGTGACAAAAACTAACCGTAATGTAATACTTCAAATTTTTCTTAGATGATCTAAAAAACAAACCCCGAAACAAGTTAATAATACAGAGTATAGTGTCCTACGTCAACTATAGTGTTTTACGGCATCCCATATAATTATTCGTCAATGTTTTATTTTTAATAAATGTATCGAATATTTTTCCCAATATTGGCTAGAATAATATGTTTTATTTGAAATAAACGCAGTATGCTTCTTATTTTATTGTTATAATAAGAGTATTACAGTTTTTCACGAAATTGTCCTTACATAAAATAAAATACCTACTAAATAGGCCAATAACTTACTGCACATTAATTTCAAAATTCATATTATGATATTATACACATTTGCATCTGCATATTAAAACATGAAAATCAACATAACGTAAAACACTCATTATCTCGGAAAGATTTTCGAAATTAGTTTCTTAGAACATTCAAGAAACAAGCAATTCTAAAATGCTATATTACCGTTATTTCTTGTCATCGTTATTTTAAGGGGGAAAAAACCACTAAATACATAAAAAAATAATAAATTTTATATTAAATAAATCTTAGTGTTGATATTTTTTATTTCCGTTAATCGGTTGACACGAGATGTTCCACTTTTATATTAGAATACGAAGAGAGTAGTGGGGCATAATTTATATGATAGCGTAACGATTTAATAGAGTACTCTACTACTCTCCCTTTGCCCGAAAAACGGCTAACCTAAAAGTAAATTATTTCAACAATAAAAAATGTCAGAACTTGAGTTTATTCAAACTAAAATTCGATCTATTTATGAAAGTTTTAATATAGGGTGCTCTTTGAAGATCAAAAAATGGAGAGTGGTTCAATTCGATATTTTAGAGCAGCTTGTGTTTTAAATGTTACTAGTATACAGATTCCGAAAAAAGTTAATACTTTTCTGGATAACGAGTGCCTTACTACATTATATTGACCACGCTGTATATTATTAACCCATACGAATTATATTATTATGCAATTTTATTCTCTTCTCGTTCAACGAATAATGTATTATTAATATTATTATTGTAGGTAGGTACTTTTTAGGGTCAGGTCGTATCAGCTGAACAACCCAACTCTGTCTTGTCGTGCATATGTTACGCAGCGTATCTCTAGCTATTTACCTATGCGTGTGTGCGTGTGTGTGTGTGTGTGTGTGTGTGAATGCGTGTGTGCGTGCGTATATACCTCGCATACCAACGTGTTTAGACTGTTTAATTATTCATAATATTTTATCAGAATAATGTAATATCATAATATTTTAGATTACGGTATACGGATAATAATATTGCTCAAAGAATAGATTAAAAAACAAAAAATTACATTTTTACCCGTCCCTTTTGGTTGATATGATACGCATTTTATTGAAATAGTTAAGCAGATAATTATAGACAGTGCTTGAATTACAAAAAAGCATAGTTATATTATTAATTTTTTTTTTTTTAGGTGATTACTCTTTTATATTATTGTTGTCAAATGAAATACTATAAAGACAAAAAAAAAATTATAAAAACATTTTTGGAAGAAAGTAAATTTGATACATATTTGCAGGAGTCAGCGAAATGTTTAATCACATGCTTCCGTATCGATTTTTGTTAACTCTGCTCGGTGTCCATCATACAAAATTAGAAGAGATATGCTAAAATATTTTTAGAAAAGAAAAGTTACTACATCCGCTTCCCCATTCGGGTCCTTATCACCCCAATTCAAGCATTTTCCGTATAAAGGTACTTTAACTTATAATTGTTAAACCTACTTTTTTTTTTATATAGGCAGGGAAATTTTAACGGCCACACTATATAATAATAAAACTAAAATGATAATAATATTTCGACAGTGGTTATCTATAGGAAGATTTAAAAACGCGAAAAAAATCCACATAAAATGTTCGCTATCGTTCGAAAAATAATTTACCGCGCACGGAAGTAATTGAATATAATTTTTTTCTATATTTTTCACTAAGATCTCACGTGTTGTTACAAAAATAAAAAAAAAAAAAATACCCCAAACAACGTCGATCACGTTTAAATAATATTCTAAATATTCTGTTTTATTTCCACGTGAAAAATAATTCGAATAATTAACAAATTCTACACGAAAATTATAATCTTACTTATTTCATTTTACGATAAATAATATTGCGTTTATTTATCGACACTATAACAGTTTATAGATAGCTCGTGCAGTAAAAGTATACATTCTATTGATAACAAATCAACACATTTTCGTATTAGTCATACTTTAAAAACGGGCAAACAAAATAGTTCGTTAAATATTGTGTAACATTTTTTTAAAATTAAAACTATACTATACTAATTATTATATATGCATATAGGACCCGTTCATTTTTCAAATTATTGATTTACATAAATAAATACATAATATTTACAAAAGTCAATAGAGATTTAATTTTTATAATTTATCATACTATATTATACTCTTCGTCGCTCTATCGATTGATTTGAAATTTGAACGGACAAAAAAAAAAAAAAAAAAAAAACATTGTATTTTATTAAAAGTTTAACGGAATAAATCAAGACAAAATGTTCAATATTCACTTAATTAATTAATTAGAAAAACAATATTCATTAATAATTAAGAAAAATTAATTTTCACCAATACGTCTGTATTAAATACAAATAATAATAATAATAAAAAATGATAATTCGTTGAAGAATATTTTTAAAGCTCTGTTGTTATTGTAATTATCTATTACGTTATTCATATTATTATTATTATTATTATTGATTGTACAAATTTATTTGATTTTTATCTTATCGCGTTGAGATAAGATTGCGTTTATCTTTATTATCCCATCTATAGTCGGTTGGATAACATATTAATCATATAATGCAGCTTGTGAGTCATATTATCGTGACGCAAGACGCAAACAAATTACGTGCTCGTCGTATCAAATGTTGTTTGTTCGTTTTTTATAATATTATTATTGTAATAAGTTTTTTTTTTAAAAATATATAAAATACGTTGTTTTTTTTTAACTTTGTTATTTTTTTTCTACAACGTTGAATATTATGCCAAAAATCATAACTATACCTATACCTGTATGTATACATTCATATTTTTATTTTCATTCTAGTCTATATTATGATGTAATATTATATTTTATAAATATATAATATACCTACATTAAACAGGGTAATTTATTTTATCATGATCCATCGATTGTCTACGAAGATTTTAAGTGGGTACCTCCTATATAGTGAAATTGATTTTTGTTGTTAACAGTCATTATAATAGAATAAAAAAACGTTTGATAGTATTTACGACATTTTCAACTTTTCACTTTTATTGCATACTCCATAAATTAAACCCATATCGAATTTTAATTTGTACGTAGCAAATCCTGCCGCGTTTTCAATCTGGATTGGAAAAGATGATATATTTCCAAAAATGTTTGACACATGAATAACACTAACATCGGATTTACCATTAATATGAGTTAGAAAATAATCAGACGGTGTAAAATTTAGACTGGAGAAGAAGAAAGGGTTATCGTTTCAAAGTGGATGTGGCATTTATCACCAAAGTTAGACTTAGCCACTGGGACACTGGAAAATCTCCGAACAGCAGTGAGTTAGGCAAATATGGAAGCTCAGATGGGATGACTGAATAATCGGAGTAAGTGATTAACCGAGTCCAATAAAACATGAGATATGACTTAGGTGTTCTGTTAAGCTGTAAAGTACTGCCCGAGAGGCTGGTGATAAGCCGTCAGGAATTACTGTACGCTATCGAAAGGCCTTCAATAAGCCGTCGGGAATGCAGTAGATTATTTAGAGGCCTGAAATAAGCTACAGAAGCTACAGTATAGAGCATAGGCTATTTATTGGCGGTATTTAGTCGTCAATATGGACGCATTCAAGGGAAAATATTTGGCGATATATCTGTGTTTAATTTGAGGCCAATATAATAAATATATTCCAGTCTGTTTTGATAAGGTAGTCCAACCTTGGGTTAAAATTTTAAACTGTTTATTGCTTACCTATAATCGGTCTATCCGATATTAGTGTTATGCATTATATTGATATTATTTGGAAAATTGTTGATTTTTGAATCTGTGTGAAACGAAAGGTTAACCACTTTAAAACCAAAAGTTTTACACTAATTTTATATATAAAGACAAGTGAGGCACACATTTGAAGACAAGTGTTGAAACGAAACTTAAACGCGTCCATTTTGTAATGTTTAAAAAAAAAAAAAAACAGCTAGACATTAAATCCTACTTAAAATCACCCGAGAAAATCGCAGGATAAAAAAACAGCCTGTACACTACCTATGTGATGTGTATATTATATATTTATCGATAATAATATTATTAAAATTATTATTACCTAATTGTTAAAAAATGTATTTAGAATCGTTACCCAATAAAATAATATTATTAAACGAATGTGATGTACATATTATATTATTCGCATTGTACAATTACACTTTATAATAATTATAAATATAATACATTATTATTTGTAAAATATAATACATAATAAGTACTGACAAGTAAAAAATCTGAACTTTTTATTTTGGGTTTATTTTTGAATCCCTTCATTTTAAAAATGTTTATTTAAATTCTATGTACCTTAGGGAATACACGTATCTTTAAAAGCAAATTCGTTCGTATATATATCAGTACCTTAAACAAGTATATAGCCGTTGTGACAGTGAGCAGGTGTCGGTTTTTTTAGATACCAGGTGGGTTCAAAGATATTATAATATTTGCATTATCATATTTCAGATGAACCTTTTACGTGCACTTTTTAAATTTTTACAAGTCAAAATAACATAATAAAAACACACCTACGTACCAAAGGTGCGAACGCAAATTGTATTATACGAAATTTAAAGCAACTATAGAAGATACCTACTTTTATTTCGAAATTTTTCAAAGATATATGACACATAAACATTATGAATAATTATATTGAACAATATTTAATGTTGGTTTATATAATTAAAACAAAAACTTTTATCAGTGATCCAATACCAATAAACATACGAGTAAATCCATCCTGAGAACTAACAAATAAAACACATTAACACATCATATATATTAGGTATGTATGAAAAAATGAAATATACTTAGATAAGGTAAGTATTATAGAGTGAATGTCTTAAGTGTTTAATTTACAGCACTCAGTTTTAATTTAAAAGTTAAAAAGACGGATGTACGTCACACGATGGGAGCAATCACTGTTATTGATGAGAAGTTAGGAAGGTAAGATATACAGGGGAAATTAATTTGTATTTGTAAGCAACAACAAACCATTGTTTACAAAATGGGATTCTGAGCGGTTGATTATGATAGTTAATAGTGATGCTTTGTCAACAATAAATATATCATATTATGGTAAAATAATTAAATAATTATACATTCTCTTTAATAATATTTATTTAATATTGTACCGATTTTCCCGGTTTTTCACATTTTCTTAGGAAACTCTTGAAAAAACAATCATAGTACCTCTTTTACTAATATATTTCGTACATTTTCCAGTTTTTCCTCATTTTTCACTTTTATTGACAAAACTGCAGAGAACTTTAAAAAATGACTTCCCTGAAGTACTTTTCCACACTGATTTTCTTTCCGAAACGGTGCTACACGTACAAATCGGAGCACATCCTCTGGTAGAAAAGTTGTCCACAGAAAAAAAAAGTAAAAATCTTTGCATAAGATTCTCCACCAGACTCAGAATCTAAAAATAAACATCTTTGTAAAACTAATACATTCTTCGCTACACTCATAATTTAAATTCAATATTTGAGTATAGTTACTGGAATAAATTTAACTTAACCGATTATTTTCATTCAATGTCACCATGTCAAACGGTGTACCTATATAGGTTAAATTTGATGATAATATTTTTTTTTTTTATCTCAGACAGTAAAATAATTCTTAAGTAGTTACTTAGTTTATGTAAATACTTAATTGGGAAATTTTTAAAATTAAAATTTGCTGACTGTTATGTTAGATCAACGAAAATTTCCCTTCGGGCGGGGAAATTTTAGCATAGTAAATTTTTCAAAAAGAAAGAAGTTAAATTTTCTATCATTGAAGGGCAATTTTAATAATTTGTTAAATTTCATAAATGTGCATAATTTGTTTTGTGTATTTTACTAAAAATGACAGTAAATTTATTTTCAAAAGGATTAGCATTTCGAATGAATCTGTATAAGTGATTAATGAAAACAATTATCTCCTATTAAGCTGCTGGTAGGTGTACATAAAATATTTTTAAAAATTATGTAAGTGTTATTTTTTTTATTTATTTGATAAAGTTAAAATACTTACATTTAAAATTATATTTTTAATTTTTATCAAATGTTCACCATTTATTAAACAAACGGTAGTTTATTATAGTAATATTAAAGTGGCTGTTCGAAGTTTATAATAGCGAGTAAAATACATTCGTGTGAAAAAAACTATTTTTTATCCTCCGTGTTACTATATAGTTCGAACTTTTAATGATTTATACGCAGTGGACTTTATTCGTCTGATAATACAATATTTTGCGTTGCACTTCATATTTGCGATATTTGAGATAAAAAAAACCTCTTTAACAGCTGTTCAACGTAGTGTTTAGAATATAAAAATAACATTTTCGTTTCGGCAATAATCTTATGAACACACAAACAGGTAATCAATTTTTGGAATTTAGACTTTTAGTATTGACCCATACATGATATTTTTGTTGGTTTTATAGGTTCTAACCAAAATTATAAAAAAAAAAAAAAATGTTTTTAAAATTATTAATAGTATCAATTTACCGATCTTCCTAGTGAGATTTAACCACGGCAGCCCCACAAATCAACTCTAAAAACTGTGGACGTTTTAATCAGATGTTTGTTTTAATATTAAATCGTATGAATATATTCTACGGAGAAAAAATTAATTAAATTAAAACTTTTTTTTTTTTAATCAGTTTTTTATAATTCTTAATTTGAAATGTAATGTAATAATCAGATTTTGTTTATCGTATTATTTTTTCACTTTTATAATTACGAACAGTTCTAGTGAAGAGTTTGAGTTCTTTAAGTTTTCCGGCCGCAAGTTTTCCGCTCGTTCGTAAACAATTTGGAGCGTTATATTTACAAACCGTGAAAATGTTTTCCCAGTAAAAAATTAACTATAATTAACCGGACAATATTTTATTGTCTATATTATCAATAGTTCGTTTATTATGTTCTTATTATACATACCGTATATCTATAGAATTTTCGATTTGACAATATAGTACCCGTTATTTGCATTTATTGTCCACTGAATGCTAAAACATATTTGATTAGACTAATACTCAATGAATCCGGGCATTGTTTCACGTTCGATTCGATGCGCTGACTGATCTCTAAGCCATTGAGTGTACTCGGAACGCTAATATTTGTACGAACCCTGTTTCTCCATCGACGACCGTAATAACTATCAATAGAATATTACAACGGTGAATATTGGATGTTTGGGTTGATTAAAATCAAAATTTGCCGAATAAAAATAATATTTGTACGGCATTTTGATTATCGTTCACAAATACTAAAATAACAGTAAAATCAAATTTTTCGTGTTAGATTTCAAATCACCGGCACGCTTTAGTACATGTGAAACCCGTGTATAGTTCCAGTGGAATTTCAATTTTTTTTTTTTTTTTTTTTTTTTTTTTTTTTTGTTAAATCAAAAACGTATAACCTAACCATAGACACTTCTTTCTTAAAACTTCAAAATGCGTCGGTGCGTCGAAATCATCCTATAACTATGTTCGCGTGTACATTACCCTCCGATTTAAACTCCGTTAATGGACTTTCCATACAATTGAATATTCCCTTTCAATAACACGAAATAATAATAATACAAATATAAACGCAAGACGTACACTCATTGTGTTGTCTCGTCGTACCTAAAAACCACGGATGACTACGTTGTTCCGACGACATTTCGAAATGGATGTACTGAAAGCTGGGTTACTGCGAAATAATCGGTTAAACACGTTCAACCCTATATTATATTATGTTGTGTTATAGTGTCCGTAACAACAGCGCAATAATAACGGGGGCTCCGATTCGATGAATATTCGTTTTAACGGTGTCGCGAGTTTTTTTTTTTATTTTGTTTTTTTTTTTTTTTAAAGTGTGCGAGCGCGTGATAAGACCCACCTCGGGTAATAGAAAAACTCGACGGACATAAAAATAAAGTGTATAATATAATCGCAACAGTATACTCGTAGTACAATATTATAGTACGCTAATATTTACAGTGATCAACCGAAATAGTCGTAGGTAAATACCTATTAAACGTAACGATAAACACTCCTGGAAATTACCGCTTTTATACGATAAAAACGTTTTTAAAGCTCTATTGTATTTAAAAACAAAATATAAAAATACCGTTCACTATTTTCCTAATCCTCCGGAACGTGGTTTCGATTTTAAACAAAAATATACTTATAGGCGTACACATTGCAGTACACTACCTATACACACTTGGAACGAATTTTTTCGGCATGTTATCAGTTCGCAGTGAAACATTTCAACGGTTCAGTTGTGTTTACGGGTCTGGCTAGAAATCAGCGTTTAACATATTAACTTTAAAATAACGTAAATAATATAAATATACGGTACTAGTTGGTGCCGTGCGTCATTTTGTAAAAAAAAAAAAAAAATCGTTTTTATAGTCCATAAATCGTTTTAAACATTGCATTTTTATACATATACATATATACAGCATCATTCACTAAGCGCGCTTCTTTCATTTTTTTTTTTTTTTTATTAAAATTTGTATATATCTAAATATGATTTTTGGAATTTTTCAGTTTCGTAAAGCCGATATTTTCGAATACTTAGACTTTTCACAGCATTTGAGAAGTATCACGTGGTGACACCAACTTTGGTATTTTCAAATAAGAACCTATATTAAAAATTCCATAAATAGACGGAGTATTACTTTAAATAAATGTTGGTATTAACATTTTAAAATTCCGTCAATCCGTAGACGAGATATCTCACTTTAGAATTTAGGCAGGGGGCGAGTATTGGATCACTAATAAAACTCCGCACGCCATGCCGCCACACAAATTATACTCCACTATTCTCCCCCTACTTATTAAATCCGTATATTTATAGAATTTTAAATAATATAGATTCTCATTTGGAAAACCAATGTTGGTATCGCTACAGAATACTCCTTAAATGTTATCAAAAATCTAAGTATGTATTCGAAAATATCGGCTTTAACTACGCTTAAGAATTTCAAAAGTCAAAATATTGGCGTGAGCACGATTATTGAGTCATTCTGTGTATTTATATTACGAGATATTTTCAAACACAATCGGGATATGCGATAAAGCAAAATGTCGAGAGTTAAAAGTGTCCGAAATTTTAAGGAGTTACATTGTAATTTGCGCATTTATTTATACTCGAATTTTAATGATTTCATAAAATATTTTTGACATCGTTGAAGATCGTGCTGAATATTCTGCGGTCGTATTACATCAATTATTATATTATTCGGTCCCGAGTCGTTTTATTATCCGGTTTCGATTGGTCTAATAGCAGTCGAATTCGGACATAGATTCGGAAGCTCCGTGTGGCCGGTGCATTTGGCGCGCAGTACACTCGTGGACCACCGTTTCTATGCTTTCGTCACCGTCTAGTTTTTCAAAGAAAAGTTTCGACGACGACCGGCGCCGCCGCCAACACTGCGATCCGTCACTCTCCTCCGCGGACCGATCCTTTTCACGGCCGGCCGCGTCCGACTGTAAAAACTTTAAAAAAAGTTTTTTTTTTCAATCTTCCGTCTTACATATTATACGCCACTACCCCCGGCCCCGTGCAACGACTTTTAAAACTATATACAATTTAATATATTTAAATATATATATATATATATATATATATATTTATATATACTATGTAAATAACACACCGTATATTATATATAGGGTGTTAACATTAAACAATGTCCAGGAATCTGAAACTGCTTGACTCTGTTCTAACGCGCTTCATCATTCTAATGGAAAATTATATAGGATTGTATTTTTGATACCGCAAAGGTAGCGCTAAGAGTAGGCCAGGGTAAACCCGATCCCATTCTAAATTATTATAACCTTGTGATAAGCCCACTGTAATTTTAATTTAAAAATGAGAATTATTTATGTAAAATTTAAACATGAAATAGTCTATAAATATGTATTTTAGATTCTGGGCGTATAAAGAAATTAATCGTTTTTTTTTTTTTTTTTTTTTTGTAATTCAGTTAAAAATAATTTCAGAGAGCTGAAATTATCACGGAACATAACAAGAGAGTTTACTTGTTACATTTTACATCTAGTTTGTGCATTAGGAAGTAATGTTTTATTTACATTGTAGTTTCATTAATAATGGGGGGAAAAAAAACAGGAAAAAGTTTTTGTTACTTTCGATTTTTTTTTTTTTTTGTAATTCAGTTAAAAATAATTTCAGAGAGCTGAAATTATCACGGAACATAATTTGTTTAGATATTTATATACATTTAAAATCGTCAAGTTTATTAAACTTTATTTAAATAAAATTATTTTGGCTTCTCAAAAATACTTGAAAGTTTTATAAAAGATCCATCATACATTTTTATGGCACTGGACTTATTTTTCCGTTAACATACAAATACAATTAAAGTTATCGGTTTGTAAACTTTCAATTATTTTATTTTATATTTTTTTTTTAAAAAAAAAAAGGCCACGATACTACAGATAAAAAGTTCTTATCGTTCAATTTTGATAATTTTTCTATATATACTGAAAGAGTACATGAGGAATACTTTTTCCCTTACAAAACAGTATTCCAAATCAAATAACGGAAGATATTTAACATTATTTTAAAGGGGGAGAACCCACTTGGCTATAAAAATAGTATATAACTCTACCAACCCTAAAAATCATTTGCTTCTCTCGTATTTTACTGCTACTTAATACCAAGTCATGTGATCGATTTAGCGGTTATCACTTATCGTTATCGGCATAGTATTTGGAAAAAATATCAATATTGATCGTATCATATATTATAGAAATATTATACCGATGGTACTACGTTACTGCACGCAGCGGATTACCACCAGTTCTCCGGGATGGCATCACGTGACTTCTTTTTCTTTTTTTTTATCGTAGGAATGTATATGGTAAAGGACCGCATTTCTGCCCGATTAGATAAGGTCAGCCCGATTAACATACTAATTGAAATTTTAGAACTATAGTGACATTTAGTACTACACTCTATAGTGTTTCCCGCCCGACGGATCTGTTTTTCTGGTAGTATCCTAAAAGATCGATAGGAAAACACTTCCAGGGTCGTATCTGATAATGATTAGCCTTAACGCTTGTGTCGTAGTTTATCTTCTAATAAGCATTGCCATTGAAAAACGAATCTGAGTGGAGTTTGATGGCAGTTGTAGTACGTGTAGTATAAATAACAACACGTCTTTATTTAAAATTAAAAAAATGTTAATACTATTTTATAGAGAGAAAAATAGTAAAATTAATCATCAAACTAAACATAATTTTTAAGAAAAAAATAATATCAATTAACTTTGGATAATCTTAGATAATTATCGGGGTTGGTAAAAAAATTTGTATTGATCACCAGTTGCTCTAATTGAAAACTAATCGAACTTAATGAAAAAACCTAGGTTTTTCTATTTAAAAAAAGTAACTTGTACTGTGCATTTGACCGCTAAATGCATTAAAAATTTGAAATTGTCCTAAAATGAGTATTTCGATACTCTCTAATAATAGAATGACAGAAAACCACGTTTCAGTTTAAAGTCATCAGACTGAGATATTTAGTAAATAGAGTATATAGTAGGACCAGAGACTATATTATATTATAGAGGGATATTGAACGATTCGTCGAAAATTAGTCACTTTCCCCCCTTCCCCGATAACGTTCCAGATATATGTCTGAAAATTGCAGACTATACGGTACGTAACAAGATAGCACTGTTAGTCAAACACGTTATTCGTGTTACTGCGGAGTCACTTTATATAACACCTTTGGTCTCAGGATAGAAACGCTTAAGAAAATGTTTATAATTTTATTGTTATTATCATTATTATTATTTTTTTTTTTGTTTTCTGGTCTAAATTGTAAAAGTGTATGTGTTCTCAAAAATAGTGTGCATAATGTAATGTCTGTGTACAAATGTATGTTTTTTAAACATTTAATTTGCTCGAATTGAAAACAATACGCAATTGACTTAAGCCCTTCTTCCCTGGAACCAAAGACGCATGAACGACGGCGGCGGAAAACTACACGCCTAAATTATCTGCTCTATCGTTGGTTTGGTGCGTGGTACCGTCTCTCCGTTCGTACGTCGAATATTTTTCAAAAATTCCCCGAAACCCGTGTGTTATGTTATGTACACCGTGTATATAGACACGGGTGGAAAAACGGCATTCACCAGATCGTCGCAATGGATGTAGTCTTCGTTATCCGTCGTCCCACAATCGACTCCGGCAGTCGTCGCCGTCGAACTGCAGGGACACGAGCTATTGCGGTCCACCGCCCGCCTCGGCGTGCTATATGCCGCCGGACCGCGGGAAAAACTTTGTGAACCGGCCGGGCGGTCACGAATAAAGCAGGAAACGTCGTCGCCGTCGTCGCCTTTGTCTTGTGACGGATTTTTGTTTCCGCCTTCGAGAGCAGCAGCCGCCGTCGACTTCCGGTCTGATGGTGAAAAATCGACCGCTACCGACAACAGCGTTTCGGCCATCTCCGCCGACTCAGCGGCATGTTTCTCCGCAATGCACTTCATTCGCCTGTACACGTGATTATACGAATAACATTTAATGTTTCTTTATGTGGAAAGCACAGAGAAAGAAGCACGTGGTAGTTTATTATTTAAATTTCAACATAATGGTAAACCATCTTTGGGACTATTTGGGACTATAATTAAATGTTTAATGAAAAAAGGTTTCAGTTGGATAATATCACAAGTAAAATACTGGATGTACCGGTCAATAAATAATATAATTCATGCAGGTGTAGAGCAGATGAAGTTTTATTCTGCTGAGAAATTTTAAAACGTGAACTAATAGACCCTTTTCTCCTTTTCTCAGATTCATATATTATAATATATGGATAGTGCAGTAGAATTTTGAACAGAAACTATAGATAACTATTAAACAATTTCTATTACCTTTTCAGGATCTTATCGATAATTAAATAAGATTTAATAAACTTAAAAATAATTATAAAAGTTACTTAAACTTAAGACTAAAGGTATGTTGGAGGTTGGAATAGTGGGACCATCTCGTATGTAAGTTACTAGTGCAGCGTGTTAAACGAGATAAATTGTGAATTTAACTTTTTTTAAGTCAAGTAGTAATGTTCCATTTTATTATTTTTTTAAAGTTTGTAAAATGTCGATATACTTGACTCCTTAAATACAGGTGTTATAACGTACTCTTATAGGTATTACTTATTGTCTGTGCATTTTTGTCTATATCACAGTAATCTTTGCTAAAACAACAATTCATTTAAGTAATAAAATAAAACATAAAAAGTACCAGCATGTAGTACGAAAGGGAAAAAAAATAAGCGAGCGTTTACTGGATTATGTGTGACAGGCGTGGATTTATGGGTACAAACAGCAACTGGTGCTCGGGCGTAAGCCACTTAAAATAAAATTCTGTCGTTAATAAATTGGAAGTACCTACCAGTTATACTGAACCAAGAGGAAAAATTAGGGAAAAATCTATGTAAATTTACTGGCGCGAGAAACGAAATAAGTATCGTTTTTCCGAATATACCTGCGTACCTATACCTACCAAATCGCCCACGATCGAGTGTCCCAAATCGCCCTTGTCACAAATTCCCGCTTATAAACTAACAATATTTCTACAATGTTATCAAATTAAGGTAAAGGAAAATAAAATGTTATACTCAATTTGTGACGACACCCGTTTCCGGCGTTCGTTCGATCTCCTCCTCACGCGTTCCAACTCGTCCGACAGTTTCTGCACCTTGGCTCGATAACAACACTCGTTGTCCTTCATTTGCTTCAACGCGGCGGCGAGTCTCACTTCTCTCTGCACCATCAAACAAGCGTGACCAACACAAAATCATCGATTTCAATAATGTTTCCATATATATATATATATACTCGTATATTACATGTATTTTTTTGGCGAAACGAATATTATAAAGTAATAGAAATGTATTGATGTACAATTGACCGGCCCCATTGAAAATCATAAAAAAAAAAAAAATCACGCCAATATTTGCATTCGCGCATATTTTAAATGAATCGATTTCCCACGGTGAGTCTCGATTACCAAATTTAATAATAATAAAATATTATCCATAACCCATCGTTAGATGTGTGCAGTGGCGTAAATACCGGGTGGGTAAGGTGGGCAAACGCCACGATTCCACAACTGATAAGGGCCCTAGCAGTATCCTAGACTAGGCCCAAGAAATTATTTGATAGGTGTACACGGGTGTTTTTAAATGACCAATTTTTTTTTTTTTTTTAATAATCGATTCAGCCTTTAAAACCTTAACATAATATTTTGACATGGGCATCAGAAGTTCTGTCTACGCCACTGGATGTGTAGGGTCATCAAAAATCATCACTTTTTTTTAAATGTAAAAGTAATAATACGTTCTATAATATGTAATATACCTATCCGGTTACAATATTTCCATTGCAATGTAAAATTGTCGGTTCATGTACGTTTCTTTTTAGATTATAAGCAGATTTATTGGTTTTAATTTATCGTTCAAGTTCGGTCGACTCTTGATAAATAAAATACTAAAACTCGATGAAAAATGATGTTGCTATGCTCAATATGTTGTTGTAAACCTAATCCAATACCGTGTGTGTGTCACGAAATAAGATACATATGCATAACCACAGAGCTATGGAAAAGCGACCGCCAAACTGAAACTGCTTTCATCACCGGTCACTTCGACAATACATATTATCATAGCTCGTTAAGATTGCCCAATCTTGATTCGTACTTATGTATAAATCTACCGCACTGATAAATGTATTTGTTTTTATCTTGTAACAGGACGATCATCAGATATTCTGTCTATAATATTTCCCTGGCTGGAAAGCGATATGTCAATCAGGAATATATGGGTTTTAGGATTAGAAGGTTAGTCGTGTAAATTCACGCAAATTACGTGCTAAATATCGGTGTAATTTATTTTATGATTTCTAATTATAAAGAGGGGGGAATGGGAGAATGGGCAACCGTACGTAAAATATTAATGAATATGATATTATCAATTGCGAAAAAATAACAATATTATTATCGTATCACCGTTTTTTTGTCGGTCGGCATCTTTTCGCGTAGCATAAATTGTTCGAACCCTTTTAAACGGCATTCAATTTCGTTTACGTATTTCTTGAAAAATTCCAATTGCATTTCGCAATTTGTATGTACATTTTTTTGTCGTTTGCTAGATGAAATAGTTATCATTAATATTGTAATACAATGTTATCATGTATATCGACGAACAAAAAATCGTTTTACATTCGAAAAAATAACTTTTATAAATAAACTTATAGGTAAACGATTGGTTATTAAAAAATAAAATATATCACCTATATTATATACAAATTATAATATTATTACTAACTTTGTATTGCCTTCGTCCGTGGTTTCTCCGCAATTGTCAGTATTATTGTTAAGTTTTCGCTCTGTATTATTATTACTGTTCTCCTGCATATCATTGATTACATCGCAACAACTCACGCCATCAAACGTATGAACTTTCGTCTAATTAGGTTTTTGTTCGTTATAATAATATGATCATACAATTATATTTCAATCAAGTATGACCGTATTGGTAGGAGTATGCAGTGTTTGGAAACAACGCGTGAACGACTTTGTTTCGTTCGTATAAAATTAGTTTGATAAAAAAAAGTATATATGTATGAAAATGATCATGATATTATTAATATGATTCATATCTATCTTCTGAAAGCAATAAATTTTGGTATGAAACATTGTCTATCGAGATAGGTAGTATTATTTATCTATTTCGCTGATGTTACCATTGCTATCGGACCATAGAATAAGATTACTGTGTATACACAACCATTATACGACGTCCCGTCCTGCTGTTTTATAATTTATTTTTTTCTGTATGGTATTATTTCGTCGGTTTTATTTATAATAACAAATATTGAAACCTATTCTTTTTTATTCAGAGAGCTGACCTCAAGATCAAACGCGCTTATTTTTTTTACGAATGTGTGAACTTTAAAAAAAAAAAAAAACAAAAATGCAAACGTGTTTGTTTTGTTGGACAATGAACGTGAACGCCTTAACTTTTTTGGTGAACGTACCAAACACTGCGTATAATTTATATATAAGAATTACGCGTTACTTTGGATTTTTTGGAATTTTCATCGCGACTAAAATTTATGACTAATAATTGTGAACCTTGATTCATGTTGCATTCCGAATGTGACGCATACTTTTGCAAAAAATGCTCAATGACGTTGCGTATAGACTTTATTTCCGAAATATCTATAGGTAGGTAGTTAAAGTAATCAGACACGGTGATAAACCATTACAACAAGTATTATAACTTATTATGGCAGATATTTATATGATTTTGTATATTTTTATTGATTGGTGAAAAAAAAACCAGTTTATACCAAAATACGTTTCGTGTTGGCCTACCGATTTCAAAAAAAATTTGGATTTTTGGATTTTTAAGGATTTTGTATATTTTTAGAGCGTATTATTATATTATTTAATGTATTTTTTAAATGAATTTTAGATTTAGAGCAGAGCATGAGATCTATTGATTTTACTCGTATTATAATATGCATGTATTTTTATCTGTCTGTAATCAACTTTGCCAACAGAAAACTTGTTTCAATCGAAAAACGACATGAGACCTCAAGTCAGTGCATTAAGAGGTTATTTTTTGTTTTTCCAAAGGAATTTAAAAATGATTTAAAAAACACGAAAACAAAATTTATTGAAATAAAAAAACTAAATAACAAATATTTACGGCACGTCACGGTATTATAATATTATTTTAAATTTGTACGGTTTATATTTTGTACCAGAAATATTGCTAGCCAAATATTGCTGCCAATCAAAAAATGACAAGTAATTTTTTGTTCATTGAATTTTATTAGTGTATAAAAAAGTAATTTCTTTGATTTTCCATGCAGTATTCTTGAAAATTGAGCATAACCGGGAAAAAAAAGGAGAAAGAACTGGCAAGTATTCTCAAATATTTTCAATTTTATTTTTTGATTGTAAATGAGTTCGACATTCTAGTAGATAATTAAAATTTCGACAAACAACTTACATTGCCTTTTCTAGATGTGGTAAAATTTTAAAAATAATTTCCCGACTTTTAAGATATTTATAGAGATTTTATACTTGAGAATTGTTCACATTGTGTTTATTTTATAGAGGAAATGTGCATATGATAATTCTATACAATTGTTTAGTCGAACTAAAATGCTTGAAAGTTTAATACGAGATTCGTTATAAGATATACTTAGTGGTAACTTTTTTTTTTATATGTATACAATGGTTTTAAGATCAAATTTCGATGGAAATCGTAAATATTACAGCATTTCTGCTTTCAAAACATGTACAAACGAACTACGTACGGAATCGTTTTTCATTAACAATAGTTTATCACTGCTTACAGATATTAATAAAATAAGTTTATGTATACTACTTTTCCAACTTCCCACCTACAAAAACGGCGCGCTTTTCCCTAGTCAACTTTTTTCTTGTTATCATATAAATTTATTTTTTTTTAGAGTATATTATAAAGACGTATTTTGGTATTTTTCAATGGTTTATTGGGTATATAAGTATATGCTGCAATTATAATATTCAAAATGTTTATTTTAATTTTATGTTAATTATAATCAATTTACGTACCTATATTTTCACGGCATTCATCGGCTATAACGTCTATTCGCTGTTTTAAATCACTTATGGATTTCAATAACGAGATGTAATCTTTTTCACTCTCCATATATAATCTAATTTTTTGGGATCAGGAAATTTTGCGTTATCGTTGAAATTTTGCCTTTTTGGTGACCGAAAAATAATATCGAATTCATATGAATGTAAACGATAGACGATATTATTAATAGTCTCCATGGTTTTAAAAACATCTCGTATGTACGCCCAGGGATGGTCAGTATTTCAATTAAATTTACATTCTATTTGTATTTTCCGACATGGACAAATTTTGTTTTACTTTTCATCGATCCCTGCACACAACGTGTTAGAAAAATGTACGTATGAAATTTTATGTATAGGATGTAGTTCAACGTAACAATGAATTCATAATCGTCGTTTCAATTGCCAGTCGTCAGTTGTAACGATAAGACGACTTATTGTAATCTCAGCGTTATCGCGGCTTGGAAATATTTTAATAAAAAAAAAAAAAAAAAAAATTGACAAACGACAGCCCGCAACCGATTGATAACCGGGCGTAATTTTTTTGCAATGCGCGAAAACCGGTCGAAACAGAGGAGGATTTCAATGAGATCTCGGTCCGATATTACCGAGAGATCGCGAACGGTTCGTTCAATAACCGTATACAATGCAATAACTCAACAAAAATCGCACAGCAATAAACCAGCATCGCAACAGTCGCCGACCAGAAGGACGGGACGGCGCGAACCGCATCGCTCGCCGATGATTCGAAATTCGGCGTCTCTGAAAACCGAGTTACGGCCGGCGGCGCGCCGGTGCCTCTGTTGACGTGACGCGCTAAACGCCGGTCGAATAATTAGCGAATACCTGCGAATTGTCGGACGCGAACGCGCAATATTACCGTAGGCGTACGGCGGATTAACACGCTGTACATTCCATTACGTTTTCGCTATCGTCGGAACGCTCCCGATCGGCGGGAGAATGGGGCGGGGGATGGGGCGCGATTGTTCCCCGATACGTCTATAACAAAGTGTTTCTCGCCCGCCGCCTCACCCCCGCGGCCGAATCGATATTACAACGTTTCGCGGGCCGTGCAATATTTAAGAAGCGATTTA